CGTCAACAAATCCTCCTATACGGTACATCAATGAGTAATTATTATTATTATTATTATTATTATATTATTATTATTATTATTATTATTATCAATATTATTATTATTATTATTATTATTATTATTATTACCATTATTAAAAAGTACAATAGTTAGAAATAAAACAGGTTGAAATGCATACACTTATATATTATTATTATTATATATTATATCATCATCATCATTATTATTATTATTATTATTACTACTATTATTATTATTATTATAAAAAGAAAAAAGAATCAAAATCACAAAATAAGACAACTAGTAGATCAATGAAAGCAGAATACCTTAGAGTGACTTTTTTAATTGCGGGTACTAAATTTTGTAATTTTAGCACGAGGTAGATTTTGCTGGTATTAAAAATTGCGATTAAGTAATTATTACTTATAGTTATATGGCATTATGATGTCATTATTAGTAATTGCACATACTAATGATTGCGATTTTTAACCCAAACGCAAAATTCGCAATTAATAGTACCTGCATTTAAAAGTAACCTTAAGGTAACAGCTTTGAAAAGAACAAATCCTTATAAAACATGATGAGAAGTGAATAATGAAATAATAAATAAATGATGATAGTTATAAACACAGAATGATGTTACATACTACTGAAAAGATAAGTGGCATTAATACTACTACTACTACTATTATTATTATTATTAGTAGTAGTAGTAGTAGTAGTAGTAGTAGTATTATGACAAAACCTGAGAACAACCTAATAAACAAACACAATTATTATTATTATTATTGTTAAATGGTACAAAAATAGGCGAATAATAATAATTATTAGTAAACACCAAGAGTACAATATTATGTACTCTTGTAAACACTTTACAGGTATAAGGAAATAGGAGCAAGGGTAAAACAAAAAAAGAAAAAGAACCTGATGGACATGTAGCCAAAAAGCTACAAGTCAAAAAATAAATATAATAGACAATAGTATAAATTAATTAAACAGGTGAAAATGATCAGGTGAATTCAAATAAAGTTATATGATGAAGGGCAATACAAGCATTTATTACAAGTACACATAAAAAGTGCAAGAAATACATGGAATAATTAGGTAGTATCAAGCGAAACTATGCTTATCTAAAAAATTAAGTAGAATTTTACTTACATTAGACACAACATCAGTTCTAGCTCCATTAGTTAACAGAATATCAACAACTTCAATGCTACCTTCCTTAACAGCATTACACAATGGAGTTTCATTGTCCTATAAATACAACATAAAATGAAACAATTAGAAATGATGCTATACCTCATCTACAGCATTCACATCAGCACTTCCTTTAGTTATTAATAATTTGACAATTTTACTGTTGCCAGTTCCAGAAGCACAGTGCAATGGAGTGCTATCATCATCCTGTTATATAAATAATTGTTACAGTAATTAAGCTAAATAAGTTCTGTCAAAATTTTTATATGATTGGGTGTGTAGGTTAGTGAGTATGAGTCAATCACCTCTGTAAGATTTAAGGACTCCTAGAATCATTGATTTGTATACAGGAGTTAAGTAACTAATGATCCTTATGTTACTCAAGCACACATGATGCATGTATAAACATATTAATTTTTAATTTTTGATCAACCATATTAATTAACATTTCTCTAACTTTTTAGTGTATACATGTATATAGATTAAAGAACTTACTTTATCTACAACATCAGCTCTAGCTCCATTAGTTAACAGAATATCAACAGCTTCAATACTAATCATATCATTCTCAACAGCATTAAACAATGGAGTTCTATTTTTCTACAATACAACATAAAGTCACTTATAATTTTGAAAAAAATTACTTTATCTTTAACATTCACATCAAAATCTTCTCTCTTAATCCAAAACTCAAGCATTTCAACTTTACTAGATTCACTAGCACAATGCAGTAGAGTTTCACCATTCTATGATAATTATAGTTACAACAATTATGTAGTATGTACTTATAGTGAATATGACAGGCCTACTTTGGGATTCCCATAATCAACCATGCATATTCAACCATAGCTACAAGTGTTACATGTACCCATGAATATGGCAGCTGATAGCTTTCAAACTGGCTCCTGTAGTGTTGTTTTTTTTATCCATAGTATCCTGTATACTTACCTCCCTAGTATTTCTAATATGAGTCTGCAGGGGCCAGAGAGTTATAGCTACTGATGGATATTGCACTTGTGACTGTTCTATTTAGGCAGTGCAAAAGCCATATGCAATATCCTCTCATATAATTTACTTATTCAGCATACTTTAATTATAAAATTAATTAGAATTTTACTTACTTCATCTACAATATCAGTTCTAGCTCCATTAGTTATTAGAATATCAACAGCTTCAATACTATCACTCTGAACAGCATGAAACAATGGAGTTTTGTCATCCTTAAAAATACAATACAAAATGATACAAAAATGATTGTTTAATAACATTACCTCATCCACAGCATTCACATCAGCATTTCCTTTAGTTATTAATAATTCAATAATTTTAGCATTATCAGCAGCAATGTGCAATGGAGTGCTGCCATTCTTCTATTATAAATAATACAAAAATTAAAGACTGAATAAATTTATTTCAATGATGGCTGTGTAATTTAATGATTATAAGTCAATGATTAAAATATATTACCTCTCAAGGGACATTTAAGGACACCAAAATTAAGTATCATTGATTTGTGTACAAGAATTAAGAAAAACATGATCCTATACACATGATGCACATAAGCACATTTTAATTTTTGTCACCCATAAAATAACACCTCCCTAACTTTTTAGTGCATATAGCACAATTAAACTTACTGTATCCACAACATCAGTTCTAGCTCCCCTATTTAATAGCTTATCAACAGCTTGAACACTACCACTCTTAACAGCATTAAACAGTGGAGTTCTGTTATCCTATATAAATATACAACATAAAGTGACTGATAGTTTGAAATAAATTACTTCATCTAAAACATTCACATCATAATCTCCTCTCTTAATCAAAAACTCGAGCATTTCAACTTTACCAGATTCACCAGCACAATGTAGTAGAGTTCCACCATCCTATGAACAATAACCACAATACCGTATAGTGCAAAGTTTTTGAGGGACGTAAATTTCCCAAATTTGCCTAAAAATTTATTTTGTGGATTTAATTTTTGTGAAATTTTACTATCTACCATCTTGCACTTCCCTTTATCTAAATTAATTTTTGCAAATCTTGAAATAATCACAAACTTGGCAAAATTTACGACCATCAAAAATTTCAAGCTGTAAAAGTAGTATCATTCTAAACAAAAACAGGCCAGTCTTATTTATGTGATGGAATGTACCATAAAGCAGGAAATTTAGGAGGGAATTAATTTGGCAAATTTGGCATTTGATAACCATTTGCCAAAATAAAAATCTGCCAATTTGAGCCATTATGCACATGCTCAAATGCACATAGCCACAAATTCACTAATTTAAAATTTTCCAATTACCAAAATTTAGCAATTCGCCAAATTTAACTCCCTCCGAAATGTCCCGCTAAAAGGTGTAATTGAGTAATTAACACTAGCTAGTATTAGCAAGTAAATATTACTTCATCCACAACATCAGTTCTAGCTCCATTAGTTAATAAAATATCAACAGTTTTAATACTGCCACTCTTAACAGCATTAAACAATGGAGTTTTGTTGTTCTATAATACAACACAAAATGACACAATTAGAAACAATTATCGAATAACTTTACCTTATCCACAGCATTCACATCAGCCTTTCCTTTAGTTATTAATAATTCGATAATTTTATTGTTACCAGTTTCACTAGCACAGTGTAATGGAGTACCTTCATTGATTTGTGAACAGGAGCTAAGAAACACATGATCCTTATGCTACAAATGATGCACATGAACACATTATAATTTCTGCTCAGCATAAAAATGCTAAAATTAACACTTCTATAACTATTCAGTTACAATGAAACTTACTGTATCTTCGACATCAGTTCTAGCTCCATTAGTTAATAGAATATCAACAGCTTCAATACTACCACTCTTAATAGCATCAAACAATGGAGTTCTCTTTCTCTACAACTCAACATAAAATGACTGATAATTATAAAATAAATTACTTTATCTTTAACATTAACATCATAATCGCCTCTCTCAATCCAATACTCAAACATTTCAACTTTACCAGATTCACCAGCACAATGCAGTAGAGTTTTACCATCCTACAATAAAATAATATTTCTTTGTTTAAATGCCATGCAAACATTGAGTAATCAACACCATCAAATAGTAGTTATATATAATTACATTAATTTTGCATATAAAAAAATATTTACTTCATCCACAACATCAGCTCTAGCTCCATTAGTTAATAAAATATCAACAGCTTCAATACTACCACTTTTAACAGCATTAAACAACGGAGTTCTATTCTTCTATAAAAACAACAAAAATAAAATGACTCAGTGATAATTTCAAAATGAATTACTTTGTCTTTAACATTAACATCATAATCTCCACTCGAAATCCAAAACTCAAGCATTTCAACTTTACCAGATTCACTAGCACAATGTAATAGAGTTTTACCATCCTACAATAATTATAACAAAAAATTTTTCAAAACAGGAGAACCTGCTTATTTTTATCATAGATTTACATCACTCAATGAGTAATCAACAAAGGTAGCAATGTACAAATGTTTAATAGTAAATTTTGCACATTAAGTTTAAAATTTTACTTACTTTATCCACAACATCAGTTCCAGCTTCATTGATTAATAGAATAAGAAGAGCTTCAATACTACCACTTTTAACAGCATTAAACAATGGAGTTCTTTTCCACTATAATCAGAATTTAAGTGACTGATAATGTAGAATAAATTACTTTATCTTGAACATTCACATCATAATCTCCACTGGAAATCCAAAATTCAAGCATTTCAACTTTACCAGATTTACCAGCACAATGCAGTAGAGTTACACCATCCTATTGTGAATAATATGATCTAACTGAATGTCTATAAGGTTGAAGTGAGGCTATTCAATTTATATTTTGTCTATTTCAGTACTATCATTAATTTAATTCTTAAGTAAAGAATTTGAATCTTTTATTTGGTTTTCAGCAATATTAATAAATAAAGAACTTTTGAAGGCAACAAATTAAGAAGCTCCAATAATCCCCAAATATAGCATTTCTGTGTGACTTGCTCCTAGCTCATTCATATCAAACTTTAAAAGGGGCCCACATTGTCAAGTTTTAAATCCCTTCCAAAAGGCTAAGGTATAAAAGCTACAACTACAAGTTGGAATTAGTCTTCAAAGCATTTGACCTAAAACTAACTGTAAATTCATTACAAATTAGATATATCCTCTTGATAGAAGACCATGTAGATAAAAAAGGATAAAAAGAAAGTTTGCTGAACCATAATGAAATTTTAAAGCCTATTCTCAAGGTCTTCCGCTGCAATGTCTTCTGCTGCATTACAGGTACCAGCATTGTAGAACTCATCAACAAAACATCTAGCATAATTATTTTTGTAAAATTTAATTTACTTCATCCACAACATCAGTTTTAGCTCCATAAGTTAATAGAATAATGACAGCTGCAATACTACCACTCTTAACAGCATTAAACAATGGAGTTCTGTTTCTCTAGATAAAATGAACATGAAGTGGCTGATAATTTGAAATGGATTACCTTATCAAAAACATTCACATCATAATCTTCTTTTATGATCCAAAACTCAATCATTTCAGCTTTACCAGATTTACCAGCATAGTGAAGTGGAGTTTTACCATCCTATAATAATAATAATGATGATGATGATGATGATGATAATAATAAAATTGTTTTTAGTGTTGCTATAATTGTTGTTGTTATTGTTTTGATGTTATTTAAAAAACAATAATAAATTGAGTAATGTCATAGAAAGAGTGCAATCCATCATCACAGGGATCCCAATCCTTTCCAGTATGATCTTGAACCATGGGCCTTTACATAAACCACTCTTTTGTGCAACTTAACTTATTTCATAGCTTAATCTAACCTATTTTATATAATAATAACAATAATAATAATAATAATAATAATAATAATAAGATTTATTTCTTTTCTTAATTCTTCCTTTTTTCCCCATAGGGGTTTTCCTCTCCTTTGTTTTTCTTTCTTGGTCTATTGATTTGTGGAGTGTGTGTCTTATGATAATAATAGTAATAATAATAATAATAATAATAATAATAATAATAAAACTATCAGATATACGTGAGTGGTTTGATCATCTGCTATTACAAGGTCCTAAGTTCGGTTACTACCCAGAGCCCCACAAGAGTTGTC